ACACACCAAGTCACAGACATACATACACAGTCATAGACAAACACACACTCACAGTCACAGACACACAGTCCACAGTCACAGATACACACCAAGTCACAGACATACATACACAGTCATAGACAAACACACATACACATAGTCACACACACAGTCACACACTCAGTCACAGACACACACACAGTCCACAGTCACAGACACACACCAAGTCACAGACATACATACACAGTCATAGACAAACACACACACACAGTCACACACTCACAGTCACGGACACACACACAGTCCACAGTCACAGATACACACTAAGTCACAGACATACATAGTCACACACACTCACTCACACACACACCTCACACACACACACACAGGCACTACCTCGGACAGGTCTCATCCACTGCACAGCAGCCATCATCTGCTTCCCCCGTTTCTGCAGAGACCGCCCCCTCCTCCCAGCACACCTGCCCCTCCGTCCCTACCCCATTGGCTTTAGGCAGCGGAGTCACAGGATGCAGCTACCGTGTCCTGTCAGCTCTCAGAGCCTTCCCACCCTACCCCCCACTCTCGGCTGACCCTTTCCTCTCTAGAACTTCCACCCCATCACACCTGCAGGAGGAAGCAGGACAGAGCCTGCAGGGTGGCCGTCGGGAGCTCAGAGAAGGTGACCTTGGCTGTCTCTTGCAGAACATACCCAATGTCGTCCTGGGAGAGGATGCTGCTACTCCGGAACCTCACAAACTGTGCCAGAAAGAAAGCCCCAAACACCTTCCAGTAAGTGGGGGCTCTCTGGCCGGGCTGGGGGCCAGAGGCCACACATAATAAAAGCTGATACAGCAGGAAGGCCTTACTCACTCCCAACCAACCCTGGAGGCAGACGGGGAAGGCAGCTCCATGATCCCCTTCAGCCCCACTGGCACTGACCTTTCCCCTCCCTCCAACAGGACCCTGTTTACACCTCGCTAACCTACCCATCCTGTATGTTTGTGTGTTATAGTAACGTGTGTGGTGCCTGATTCTCCCAGAGAAGGCAGAGATCATATATCTGGTTTGATACCTTTCCCGGCTCCCAGGACAATAAAGGCAGCCAGGACCCCCAGTCATCCCAGTAGTGCTGAGGAGGTGGACATCCATGATTGTGTTCTCAGCCTGGTGTCCCTCACCCTCTCTGCCCCAGAATGCAGGGCCCACAGACCAGGCCCCCTTTTATAACCAAATATCTGAATGGTTTTGCAGCAAAGCTCTCAGGTGGCCCAGGAATGGAGTCATCGCCCCAGCCCTCCATGGTCCACCCCAAGTCCTTTCTTCCCCTTCTCTTGGCTGGCTGGGCTCACCCCACCCCCAGACTCTACAGCAGCGGTTTTTAACTGGGGTCCTCTCAGTTAAAGGGTCCATGAACTTGGACAGAAAAAAAAAAACACTTTTATTTTCACTAACTTCTAACTGAAATTTAGAAGTTCCTTTGATTATGAATTTTTAAAAAATTATTCGTAGGTCTCATCAGACTGCCCAGGGGGTCTGTGGCACAAAAAGGTTGAGAACCTGAGCTCGGGAGGGAGAGTGAGCCAGCCACTGAGTGCCTGGTTTGGCTAACATACAAAACGGCAACCAGCCACGACAGAGGCCGGGCCATTTGTCTGTATCTCCAAACCTCAAAGGGCTTGAGAATGAGTATGGCAGGAGGTCACTTTATAAGTTTCCCCCAAAGGTTTATTTGAATTTAGATATTAAACAAGGCTGGATGGAGGATTGAACTTGGAGTCGGGAAGGCCTTGAGTTTGAATCTCGCCTTAGCATTTATTAGCCAATTCTAAGTTCTTCTGGTCCTGCAGCAAATGAAGGTTCTGCCAATGGAAGGCCAGCTGGGGAGCGGGGTTGGAGCCCAGGGCCCTGGGTCTGCTGTTGGAGCCACTGAGAGCAGAGACCATGGGCAGGTGCTGAATATTTCTGGCTGTGGTCACCCCCAAAATGGTATCCCAAGGCACTGGGGGGCCATGGTCTTCAGTACTGAGGGGTGTCACCCACAAAAACGAAGCGAGGGCAGTCTGCTCAGAGATCCCCGGGACCATAACCCACCTCCTACTCCTGGCAAACAGGGCCATTTCCCCCGGGTGCCCAGGATGCCCTGCCCCAGTGCCCTGGGGCCCTTGGGCCGGTCCTTTCTGCACTCACCAGGGTCATGAGCCTCAGGATCTCCGGGCTGAGGAAGGAATTGTCTCCAGCATCCAAGAGGGTAAACAGCAAGAACCGATTCCAGGGCTGGGCGGCCACATGCCGGGCTGTAGGAAGCAACATTGCAAGCCTGCCACCCCGGGGGCCCAGAGCAGCCCCTTCCCGTTTGGGGGCTTACTCTAGGTCTGTGATCCATGATCCAGAAAAGCGCCCCTCTCAGTGTCCCTGATGACGTTCTAAGAAGCTGGGGCACTGGAGGGTTTCCACACTGGAGGTTGCACACAGTGATGAAACCGCAGGTGCAGATACCCCCCCCCCGTTAGAAGACCCTTAAGGTCCTCTGGTCCTGCCTTCTACTTCTTTCCAGCACCCCCTTGACTGCAGGTGATTAGTTTCACCTCCGAGGTAGACAGGAAGCTCCTCCTGCCCTTTAGGCCAAAGGGCTACACACAGCCCGGGGAAAGACTGCTCCCCCATCAGAGCCACTCCCAGCAATGGGAGAAATGGGGGACAGAAGGAAGGGGCAACGGCGAGTACAAAAGTGTGACAGGGAAGAAGAGAAAAAACACAACGAAAGTGAGAAAGAGACCAAAATAAAGGGAAGCCAGCCATCTTCAGGGACAATGGGGCCAGTCCAGTCTAGCTGAAATCACTGCCCAGCACGAGTCTGGGGCACCTTCACTGCGTCCTTCTGATCCCGGAGGCCTAGGGGACAGGCAGAGGGCAAAGGGGCTTTACCTACATCGGGGCTCCTGGCTTGCAGGAAGTTCACCAGGGCCTCCAGGCAGCCAACCACAGCCTGTGACAGCAGCAGGTCCTTCTGGAATAGAGACAGAGTGGTCTGTGGGCCCTGGTCAGAGACCTCCAGGACAGGCGGAGGGCACTTTGGACATCCCAAGGCTTCCAGGCATCTAAAGCAGCCGCCAGCACACAGAACAGGCAGCACACGGTACGGGGGTGGGGAGGGGTGGAGATGGACGGCAGAAGGTTGGACCTCCAGGGAAGTACTGCAGATGCTCGCCTCTGGGCCTGGAGACCAGGGTCTACCACTATGGCCTTGGCCAAGTTTACAAGCAATCTTGGGTGACAGAGCTTCTGAGAAGGGGGACATAGGGGTCCCTTGGCCCTCCGCCTCTGTCAGCCCTCATCTGGAGGACTGGGCCCCCGGTTCTGGGCACTGCAGAGAAGGTGGAGAGTGTCCAGAGGAGGGCTACCAGGAGGGTCAAGGGCCTGGAGACCATGTCACAGAAGTAGCAGTTGAAGGAAGTGGGCAAGACCACTTCTATCTGGGAGGATCCAGAAAGGTTTCAGAGACTCTCGGCACCTCAGGGAGGATTTGAAGGAAGAGGATTGTGACGAGAGGCAAAGCCTTCCCAGTTCATTATTTCCTGCTTTTCCTACCTATAGTGAGCTTTGTATGTACTTGTTTGCTTGTGGTCTCTCCCATTAGATTGTGAGCTCCTTGAAGACAGGGCTCCATTGTCTTTTGCCTTTTTGTATCCCCAGGGCCAAGCACAGTCCCTGGCATGCTGGGGCTTAATAAATGCTTATTGGTGAATGGAACTGTTGCAACAGAAAGCGAACCATTCCTGTCCCATTAATTAATTAAGTGGTTGAAGGAGACTGTGATTTTAAAAGAATTACAAACAATAAATGACCATTTGAAAAGAGGTTCCATACTAGGACACAAAATGTAAAACCAGACTGGAAGGATTCAAGTTACAAAAATAGAAAAGTTCACATTGGAGGGGCTGTGGGGGGCAAGGCTCAGGAGTCGGCCGTTGGAGCTGTGAGCTGCTCCTGTCCTTAATTTCAATTTGGAATTGTGCGAGCAAAGCGACTAACAAATCTCTAGCTTTAGAATCCAACATAGACCAAAACATTCCTAGCTGCCCCTTTGTGATGGCAAAGAGCTGGAAACAAAGTAGGTGCCCATCAGGACGGGAACGGCTCAAAAAATTAAGATACATGAAAGCAACAGAACATGACTGTGCAGTAAGAAATAACAAATGGGGGGAATTGGGAGAAATTTGAGAAGACTTGTGTGAACAGACCCAGAGTGAAATAAGCAAAAACAAGAGGGCAACATACATGCCAACCACCCAGACATAAATGAAGGGATCACGGAGAGGAAGCTAAGATCGTGCAACCCGCCTCCTTCCTCACAGGGCAGGAAGCCACCCGCATCGTCAGACACAGACACCCAATCAGATGCTTCCACTTCATTGTTTTTATCGACATTAGGCAGCTTTCAGTCTGGAGGGGGCAGGGGATTTTCTTCCTGAAATGATTAATGTGTCAAGAAAAGGGCCCCAACAAGCTTTTTAAGCCAGGAGAGAATTACACTAGGCCATCGAATCTCAGGGTTGCACGAGACCTCAGAAACCATCCCGCCGGCCCCATCCCTCTCTCCACAGAGCACGTGGCTTGTCTTCTCAATGAGTGGGGGAGGGACGAGAGAGAGGGAGAGAATTTGGAACTCCAAATTTAGAAAAATGAATATTAAAGGTAAATAAATAATCATTTTTAAAACCCTCTCTATACATCCCTCATGTCAGACACTCAACCTCTCGAAATGTTCTTTGGGCAGCTCTATCACACTCCAGACTTACACTTAACTTGCCTCCGCTGAAACCCCCAGAACTTTATCCAGTAGTTGGGACCACTGTTTAGCTATGCCTCTCCCAGATTGTATTTCTTTTCTTTTTCTTTTTTTTCTTTTTTAATTTATTTTTATTTATTTATTTTTAGTTTTCAAAATTCATTTCCATAAGATTTTGAGTTCCAAATTTTCTCCCCATCTCTCCTCTCCCCACACCCCAAGATGGAGTGTTAATTGATATAGGCTCTACATATACATTCTTATTAAACATATTTTCATATTAGTCATGTTTTAAAGAAGAATTAGAACCAACAGGAGAAACCATGAGAAAGAAGAAGAAAAGAGAGAGACAGCAAATAATACATTTTGATCTGCATTCAGACTCCATAGTTCTTTCTCTGGATGTGGATAGCACTTTCCATCTTGAGTTTCTTGGAGTTCTTAGATCCTTGCATTGCTAAGAAGAGTTAAGTCTATCAAAGTTAGTCATCGAATAATGTGGCCATTACTGTGTACAATGTTCTCCTGGTTCTGCTCACTTCACTCACTATCAGTTCATATAACTGTTTCCAGGTTTTTCTGAAGTCCACCTGCTCACCAGATTGTATTTCTGAAGTTGAATTTTTGAACCTAGGTGTAAGATTTTACATTTAGTCCAATGAAATTTCATCTTCTTAGATTCAGCCCAGTGTTTCAGCCTGTTGATACCTGCTAGGATCCTGACTCTATTATCCAAAGTACTAACTATCCCTCCAAGCTCTATGTGATGTGCAAGTTTGCCAAGCACACCATCTAAGACTTTACCCAAGTTACCATTAGAAATGGGAACCAGCACAGGCCAAGTGTAGTATCCTGGACCACTCTACCAGAGCCCTCCTTCCAAGTCAATACTTGATTCCAATGGACCATCCAACCAGTCCTGAGTCCACCTCACCAAATGGTCATCTAGTCCACATACTGACATCTCATCCACAAAAAGAACATGAGAGATTTGGCCAAAGGCTTCTCAAAAATCCAGGTAAACTCTGTGTACAGCACTCCCCTAATCTCAGTCTAGTAAGCTTGTCTAAAAAGACATGAGACAAGTCTATCTGACCTATTTTCAATGGAGCCATTCTGCATTTTAGGATTTTTGCTGCCTTTTCCAAATGGTCACCAACCATCTCTTGAATGATACATTCTAGAATTTCATTAGGAATTCAAGTTAACCTACTTGGCCGGTGGTGTACAGAATCTACTCTCTTCCCCTTTTGAAAATCCAGAAAACTGAAAATCAGAAGATGCGGATTTAAATAAATCCCAGTTCTGCTACTCACTAGCTGTGTGATCTTTATCCAATCACTGCCCTTCTCTGGGCCTATTTCATCGTCTTTGAAATGAAAGTAATGATGTGGCATTAACTGCCTCACAAGCCTGTTATCAGAAGAAAGTGCCTGTAAATCTTTAAACACAGGGTAAACGTGAGTTATTATTGTGACCAGTAGACATATAATAATGGGGCTGTTGTGTTCCACATGTGAGAGATGGTCAGAAAGGCCAGGGACAAGCTAAGAGTTCAGTCTGACTGAAATATAATGGAAGAGAAGGCGATGCTCAGAATCCAATCCCAGATCCCTGATCTTGCCAAATCAGGAGATCCTTCCAGTGAAGGTCACACCCTGTCCATGCCTGCCCATCTGGTTCTACTCTCGTCCATGATTCCCCACCACCCTCAGGGTTTGCTCATCATGTTGGAGGCACTCCTCAATTTCTCCTAACATCACGAATGCTGGAGCTCTCTAGCTGTCTTCTGCGTGTGACCAGTTCATCTTCTCATCCTGTTAAACAATTCTATGGTGGAACTTTGTGTCTTAGGGTTTGCTGTGATCAACATAATGTCACCCACAAACGGCAGTATCTAAAGGACTTCTCCATTCATAGAAAACATTCTCTCAACCTGGCCTCTATGCTCAATGGATCTTCTCCATTGTGTCTGGCCACTGCAACCCATGTGGAAGGGTGGCTTCCAAAACCCAAGGTGTGATCCATGCCCCAGCAAGACTTCAACAAAAAAGATAAGACTAAGGTAAAGGCAAAAGCTTTCTTAGCCCAAATTCTGATGCAAATACAATAAACATTCTTCACCCTGGGAAGGGTTATGAGCAGAAGACAATAAACACATTTCTGGGGCACAGACTCCAGGCACACCTTTATCCCTAGCCACTTATCTAGGTAACATTCCCACTGGAATACAGGAAGTGAAAATGAATCAAGCTAACCCAATATCCAGAGCCTTAAGGAGGGACTTTGGAGAGGCAAGTCTTCCTCTACCTCCAGCCTCCAGGTGACAAATGACTTCAAAGCTAAGGATTTAATGGCATCAAAGGAAAGAAGCTTTTGTATTTGGTGAGCTAACACTCCAGCTGAAGAAAGCTCAATAGCTTCCAGCCCTGCCAGTAACAGAAGCTAGAGAAGAAAAAGAAAAGACTGTTACTGCCCCCTGAAGAGCAATCACTGGATCTACCTGGCCAGCAGAGATGCTGGTCCCAGGGGCTGAACAACCTGTCTGGTCCAGGTCATTGCAGCAGGGCAGCCACTCAGTACCTGCTTGATCTAGCCTAGTAGCAGAATGGTCCTTACAGATTAGAAAGAAGAGATGCCAGTTTAGCAGAGACACTATCCTGAAAAGAGCTAACTCTGCAAAGAGGCAGCCTAGCTGAATCAATCAATCAACATTTATTAAACACCTACTATGTGCCAGGCACTATGCTAAGCACTGGGGATACAAAAAAAGGCAAAAGAGAGGCCCTGCTTTCAAGGAGTTCACATTCAAATTGGAGAGACAACATATAAACAAATACATACAAAGCAAGCTATAGACAGGATAAATAGGAAATAATTAACAGAGGAAAGACAATAGAATTAAGAAGGGTTGGGGAAGGCTTCCTGTACAAGGTGGGATTTTAGTTGGGACTTAAAGGAAAACTAATGGGAGGAGGGAGGGTGTTTCAGGCATGGAGGACAGCCAGAGAAAATACCAAGAGCCAAGAGAAGGAGTGTCTTGATCGTGGAATAGCCAGGAGGCCAATGTCACTGGATCAAAGAGTATATGTAAGGGAGTAAGGTGTGAGAAGACTGGAAAGGTAGAAGGGGACTAGGCTTTGAATGCCAAACAGAGCATTTTGTATTTGCTCCTGGAGGTGCTAGGGAGCCACCAGTGTTTATTGAGTTGGGGAGGG